GTGAACTTGGCCCACAAATCGGGATTCCTAATTGGATTTTTTCCCATTTTTTATTTTTCAGAGCGCTTTTCTGCCCTCACTTCGTATGTTGTCGCTAAATAGCCGTGAGCCTTTGTATTCTATTGTCAGAGCATCCGGCAAGGGATTCTATAGAATTGGTTGTTATAGCAACAGTGTAAGACAATGAGTGGTATGATCGGTTGATCGTTGGGCTAAGGGATGTAGGTTCTCCCTTGCCTTCTAGACAATTTATACCAAAATCAACACTCTCCAACTGTTGTTGTTGTTGTTATGGTATTGCTGCTGCAAATTGGCCTGCAGGGACAAAGGCCAGGAACGTAGTTTGTGCAATTTCTGAGTGAATTACAGTGAATCGGAACTTGAATATGCATAGTTTGAGACCAAAACCAACTCTTTACAGTCGGTAGTTGTGGGAATATGGAAAATTTGCAAATAGGGTTAAATATGGCATTTCCGATCATTTTTTAAGCAAATGTCACATTAAAGCAAATAGAAATATGCATGGTCTGAACAATTTAAAAAAGAACGGAACTCGCTACGACCAGCGGTTCTCAGCACATGGGAACCCTATTTTTTCACTCCTAATTTGCATATTCAAGCTAATTTGCATATGAACGGAAAATGTGACAGACGTAATTTTAGGAATTTAATCCCCTTGTAATGTGTGCTCATTTGCTATTTTCTTATATACCGTCTAGCTTAATTTCAAAATACACCCTATAAAAAAGGGGGCCGTCATTTAATAAAGGGCGTGGTCATTTTCGGGCTGTTCGTCCCGGATAGAGAATTTGGCACACATCCCATGTTAATCCTAGGGTTCATATTAGTCTATAACAGTTGAGAAATTCTCTCCTAAATGAAGTGCATAAAAATCTTAGTCAGGTCCTAGACTATAATGAAAAGGGGGTTCGCAATTCATAATATAAAAAAAAAGGTTCACTATTTAATAAATCAATAAAAAAAAAAGGTTTGTCATAATAAAAAAAAAAAAAGAAGCTAATTATAGTTTGAAAACTAAAATAGGTTTCTGCTCATTTGGTTCGCTATTTATACTTTATAAAAAGAGGTTCGCTTGTCATAATGAATAAAAAGGTTGCTAGTTATAAAAAAAAAAAGGTTCGCTAGTCATAATAAAGAGGGGTCCGCTATTCATAATAAAAAAGGAACCCCAACGCTAGCCTAGTACAAATTTAATAGTAATACTTTTTTTTAATAACTCTTTAAATAATAGGAAGTCAACAAACGGAATTTTCTTAAATATCCGAAGCTTTTGAAATGTAAATAAAAATTTTTATAAAATATAAAAATAAAGTCTATATTTAAACACGTAAAATTTTTGAATTAATAACTGTAACTATTAAATATAATTTAAAGCCACACTTGA